TCGAAGATTAATTCCATATCTACGCGCGCCCATGTATTATTCCCTATTTATTTAAATAAGGAATAATCATTCGCTATTTACAAAAACTTCCATATATACGCGCGCCTATGTATGATTCCCAATGTATTATTTTTTGTAACATGTTAGTTCATTTTGTAAAGTTCTTTAAGTCTTTTGCTGAGGGAATATAAAATAATTAGCATGCTATCGCATTTCATTTCATGAGATGGTTGATTATACATGGGACCAGGGAGAGTAAGATTTCAGAGGGAGGTAGAGGTTTCGTTCGATTCTCGTATTTCGTGTACGTGACATGATGTCGTTTCGCTTTATTTTAGACATTTATGCCTTGTTTTAGATGGTTTTAGATAGTTTGCGAGTGGTTGCAGATGTTTTTGAGGTGGTTGTAGGTGGTTGTTGAAATTTTTGAGGTGGTTGTAGATGGTTGTAGGTGGTTTTAGGTGGTTTTAGGTCGTTTCTTGTTTTAGTACTTACCCATATTCCTTTCTATATTCGAGAGAGGCACAAGGCGAAGATAAAGAAACAAAAAATCTCGTTGGTAGTCCGTTTTTATGCTAGAGATTTGAAGGAACCGTTACCTTTTTTTACCATCATTATCATCATAATCTCATCTTCATTTTCATAACTATCTATCTTTTTATAATGCAAAGAAGAATAACTGAACGAGAAAATTCAACTGCAAAAGCTCTTACAATCAATTTTAGAGCGTGCGTATAATTATGCGTGCACTTGTTATTCTTGGCTTTACTCGCTGTATTCTCAAAAAAATGTATAAACTAACCACTTATTCTATTCTTTAAACCTGGCAATAGAAATCTAAAGAAGTATTCCAAGGTTAATGGAGATTGATTAACTATTCATAGGCCTCCCTTTTTCGTTTCTTGTTTTTCTTACATCTGAAATACATTTTGATAAAACCAACGCAGGGCACCTGTGTCGATGTTTCTCGTCGGCGAAGCGGCAAAACGAAACGAAAAAGTCTATTTCACTCTCACACTGGACTGTTGAGTCATCATACCGCAGAATCAGAAACTTTACCAACAAAAAAATGGGTATCACAGTGAGCGCACTGAAAGAACTCAGGTGACACTTGTCCTTCACTCAGTCGAGACTCCACTGCAGTAAGAAACAAGGTCGTACGTTCCACGTGACCACAGTCAGTAACAGCACTGGTGAAGCTGTGGTCGAGTACTTCAGCGGCCTGACGGATGTGCGTCCTGATTCCTGTGGGTTTTTTCAGAGAATGGAAGACGACAACTCTAAGTCGGTCATGGAGTGTGAGAGTTGGAATTATGAGGGAAAATGGGGATGGAATGAAGGTCGTGTGGAAGTGAAACTGTACATACATGCTGCATATGTCCCAGGCAACTATCACTGTAGAGTATTACACGGATATTGGTACTGCGATGACTTGTAGTATGACTACGTACGTTTCGCCAGGAGATTCTTGGAAAATCTCTGTGCGCTAAATAATTAGTTCAACCAAATGTCATAACAATTTTTGGTTGACCTTTGACCCAGTGTGGAATTACAATTTCTCACTATGTAAAAGACAAGCAAATTGCGTTCAGTCCTTCGTTTGTTGACGCAGTAAGTAGTTTTATAAATAACCTCGACTACTGAGGGTAAGACACCAGTCGTTATTTATCCCCGGGAGGCGGGGGGAAAGAAGTTTAGGGGATCACATGGTTTTCAGGATGAACGGAGGGGGAATCAGTCGTCGTCAATAGAGTATAAGGGGAGAATATAGAAAATTGACTGCCAATTAACTTCAAATGATATCAGAGGAATTCATAGGAAAATTACAAAGCCTTACAAGGGGATCGGGTAAATTTTCTCCTAACACAACCTCTGACTTCCCACCTTTCCCTGCTTCCCCCCCCCCCCCACCTCCCCCACCCACTCCGCGATGAAATATGACCGTTTCCTTACTTGTGTTACATAAAATAAAACTCTAGACTGATTTTAAACATTTTTAAAACTAAACTAAAGGGGCGGGGGAGGAGAGTAGGGATGGGACGGAGAGAACATCTGTAACGAGCCATTTTAAATGTAATTCTTTGTTACCACCTGAAAATCTAAATTGTTGTTATTCAATTTCAAAAACAATTTAGAGTGGTCGAGATAGTAGTAGAAAAATCTCTTTATTTAGAGCTGACAGAATACAACATAAACTACACAAATAAAAGAGAAAAAAAAAAAGAGAACGAACAGACAAAAAAGTGACAGGACATAGCAGGATGCGATTCTCTAAGAATTTCGACTCAGCCAAACATATTGACGACTACCAAACGATCATAGGGGGATCTTTTGCCACTTTAAACCGACTAATTTTCGAAGGAAATCCGGTTTTAATCGTTGACTTAAAGGCACATCTGTTGCTTGAGAAATACTTTTTACATTTATAAAACAAAAGTTTCCATGATGAACAGGTTCTTACATCTCTTAATATTTCCATTCAGATTAATGTTTGTCCGTTTTTTTTCGTTTCGCAATGGATATCGTGTTATGACAAGTGAACTGAATAATTTATTAGAGTTAGTCCGTTTAAATTGAAATAAGTTCATACGGTTGCTACTAAATTTTTGCAATGCGTTTGTATTGACATCTAGTGTACATAAGCATTACAGCTTGTCTGACTTAAATGCGAACCGGAGTAAAATTAGCTTAGAGCAATCTGGAGTGCATTTGAGCTAAATTTTAAACAGCAAAACGGAGATAACATTTTTGAATGTACAACTGACTTTAAATATAGAACTTTATGAGATAAAATCTCAGTTGTAAGGATTTCCTGTTTGTGAGATTTTTCTCAACACTAGCTTGCCCTCATAATGATCGGTGTTATATCGCAATAGATTTTCCTTTCAATAAAGTAGTGTTATAAAGAAGTTTGCCATATCTTGTATATGCGTTGGCAATCTGCATGATGATAAGGACAATTAAGGATTTTCTATTGAGATAAGGGAATATCATTTTATAAAACTTTCTGAACTTTGTAATGGCGCAGTTCGTGAGCTATATGTGTCAGTAATGAGGGTTGTCATCTAAGGCGTAAAATTTGAATTACGACTTCATTATTCTCACAAATAGAAGTATGTTGGTTTAAATAAACTGTTTACATTTTTAGTGTAATGTGGTCAAATGAAAGCTTTTTGTATCGTAGCTGAGACCCAATTTCACACTGTCTTAAAGAAATCCACACCATGGTAAATAAGTCAGCTGTCAATTATGACTCCAGCAACCTTTTTCAGTCCATTTTCAGGTTCTGGGCAGTGACAGCCCAATTCGCCAAAGGTTCACGTAGGAGCCACACAAAACGAATTATCACAATGTACTTGGAAATTGTCAGAAATACATTACAATAATTTTGTGGTGACAATTTTATGATAGTGCTGAGTTATTTGGAACAATAAATCAGAGATGGCCGAGCGAAGTCATGTAGCTGTTAATTATCAGCCGTTTAGAGATCATTATGTGGTCTATTCAGTCTTACATCCATATAATGAAAATAAAAGTTGATTAAAATGGGGATCAATTAAGACCCTTAATGTGGAGGTTTATCAAATCAGTTATCGTTCGCGAATAAGCTAAGCTTCCAATCGCAGGCAACAAGCGACAACGATTAAATGTTTTCTACCTGTGTTGCTCAGGTATTTACGAACGACATGCAGGCTTCATGGCTGACTCAGTTTGTCTTTCTGACCCTGTATATGTTCCTGGTGTTCGTGGTGGCAAACAGAGACTTTTGTGCAAACGTTTTAGAAACTCAAGTAGGTAAGTAACAGGCTTCGAGCCAGCTTCATTACGTTTTTCATTCATTTTGTTTCTGCATCAACAGTTCACCTGTAAATGTCTCCTAACAGATTTTGCCTTACTCGGTCACGTTATCAACAAACTGATGTTTTTGACCAGTTCGAATGTCACCTTAGATGTATGGGAAACAGTGGTTGCAAGTCATGCAATGTTCATCCTAATGGCAATGATGGTAAGCTCATTTGTGAGAAGAACGACAAAACCCGGCAAATGAAGCCAGGTGATTTTAAACGGAAGAAAGGATCTATGTACTTTAGCTCAGTTCAGGTAAGGGGTAAGTTAAAAGTATGGTTTTAAAGTGCGCATATTCAGTATTATGTTGCATCGTTTTAGTCTTATTTTTCAATCGAAGCAATAAATCGTCACGAAGCGGTCTCTGTAGGAATTTATCGACTGAGGCTGAATCTTGATTTTAATACCTTGGTAGCTAAGAAAGGCTCGAGTTCCCAGGACTCTGGCTGTTCACGTAAGAACATTCGGAATACAGGGAACTCCACAGTGAACGGAGAGTACCCGATCGACCTTGAGAAAAACGAAAACCCTTTAAGGTCCACTGTGACATGACAACTGCTGGAGGTAAGCTGTACGCATAAGTAATTCAGTGGCAAGAAACGGATTAGTTTTCCTTTCTCATACATGCAGCTACAAGGGATCAATAAGGACTTTTAAGCACGGATGTACACGAATGTTCTACTTGTTAAGAGTTGCACCCAAATCACGGCAAGTTACGGTTCTCTGGACGCTATGATTATCCATTAAACACTGCAAGTGAGAGCACTTTGAAGGTGCTCAATACCCTACGTATCACCACCCATCAAAGGCAAATGAATATGGAACACATTAACTTAACATGCAAATGTTTTACTATTCACCCGTGTTATCATATGATATTTCGTGTGGGCAAAACCGTCGTTTAAACATTTCGCTTTTTTAAGACTATAGTGAATATAAATCGTTTGTTAAGTGTGTGTTTCCCCTGTCAGTTCTGCGAGTCGCTAGCTGTTTAACGAACAAAAATCTTCCAAAAATCTCCCTTTGACAAAGTTATAAAGGTATCGCCGTTCTTGTCGTCGCACAAGCGTTTTCCAGAGGTTGTCATCCAGTGATACTGATTAGCAACAAATGCAGTGTGATCGTACAAACGTGTTTCGCCTGCTTTATTTTTATGCCCCCACTTCCCTACGAATTGCGAAAGTCCGTTGTTTCCCCATCTGGCACAATACCTGGAAAGATAAGAGTTGTCATCTTTCATTCTAACAAAAGAGAGACACGAGTCTGGCAGGGTATTCGTCTGACCGCTGAAATACTGGACTACAGCTTCACCAGAGCTATTAGCGGCAGTGGTCACGTGGAACGTACGTCCCTGTTGTTTGCTGCAGTGGAATCTCATCTGGGTGAAAGACAAGTGTCTTCTGAGCTCTCTCATGGCACTTAATGTGATACCCATTTTGTGATTAGTGAATTGACTGATCCCGCGGTACGATGGCTCGCCGGTCCAAGCGGGAAGAGCGGTCGAGCTATCTACCTCAAAGATGGATGTAAGAAGCCAGCCTCCTGACAAAGTTAAATAACAACGATACATCTCTCATCAATTCTAAAGTATTCTAGGTAGAAATGCAAAATCTTATGGATTTGTTAGATGTAAATAGTGTTCATATCTCGATTCGTTTTGAGGATTAGGACATAACAGGTTGCGACACATATTTTTATGTGGTATCATTTCTTGGTACCATTCACCTACCTCCGTCAGTTTTCATATCACAGTAGACCTTCAAAGGGTTTCCTTTGCCCTCGGGATCGATCCAGTATTCCCCATCTCCTTTAGAGTCATTTGATTCAAGAATATGCTTGCAAGATTTCCCAGGATTTGCAGCAAAATGGCCAAGTCTCACTTGATAATTTTCAAAGAAAGAGATGAAAATTCAGTTTCGAAATCGCACTTCTTATTATCATCAACACAATCTATAAGTGCGTTTTAACCCTTTACATCATTATTCATATTCTCTGTACTTTTTGCGACACTTTGCCTGCGGTAATAACTAGGAGTCTTCGTTGAATGATCCATGGCTTGTCTCGTGGGTGATCATTTCCTTTATTTCCTTAACCCTAATGACTGATTCTTATTAGGGGAGAAGGTAATTAACAAATGAACACACGGCAGCATGGAATCAATTTGTTTAATATAACAAATAAGCAAAACTTGCGAACTATGACGCCATTTATGCGTCTGTCCTCCAATGGATCGTAGGTAAGAACCAATT